CCATTGCTCGTGTTTCATCTATCTACCAACCTGCCTACCATATCTGCATCCTTTTCTTCTAACTGTGCAACGTATAACATTGTCCTTTCCCCTACCTTTCTTCTTTTTCCTTGCTGCATTCCTTTCAACGTAGCTTCTATTCGAGTGTGTCATGTGACTGTTTCTCCGTTCCATCTAGTAGGTGTTGCCATTCAACGTTTCGCCACTTTTTTCCACCAAACATTCGAATTAACGAATTTTCTGACTTTCTCCGTTCGTCGTTCAACTTCTCGGAAATATTGTCAGTCGAATGTGAACCAATTACAATTATCATATAGAGTTAACCTCTATATTCATCTCATATTAGGAAAGCTTCTACAAATGAATACAATTGTTGGCTATATGATATATAGATACGTAATTTAATCTACAATTGGATTACATCAAAAATTTGATAAGCATATGCTTATTCAATACTATTTACAAATATATTAAAAATAATTAAAATTATTTATAAGGTGGCCAAGTCCATTGATGTAGTGGTGCTTTTTCCATCAAGTTGTCCCACGGTCGCTGTTCAATTATGTCTTGTATCAAGAATATTTCATTTTTCGCATGGTTTATTAATTCTTCTACTTGTCCTTGATTTATCTTTTCTTCTATAACGGCAATATTATTATTCTGTAATATTAAATAATTCGATATAAAAATCTATTTCAAACATCTTTCATGTAGAGTACAACAAAATAATTGTTAAGTGAAAAATTACCTGTTCCACGATATTGATTCTTTCTTTCGCCAAATTTTCAATAGACTTTCTGTAAATATATTCCTTCGGCAAATGACTTGAAAGTCGCAAAATTCTATCGTACAATACACGAAGTTCTAAACGAGGATTCGAGGACACAGCGAGTCCCGTTAATCCTGTTGTCTACGAATAAATAGATACCATGTTCAAATAAAATGAATCGCAAAACAAACAGTGAATATTATAAATATTTATTATATTATACTATTATATATTAATGATTTGGTTATGTTTTGAACGAGATGATAAGATCATATTTCGGAAATAAAAAAATTATTATTCAATACGTATTATCTATTACATTTAATTATATAAACGTCTTACCTTTTTCAGTACTCCTGACATGATCGTACACGTACGATCCGTTTAAAATAAAAACCAATTATGCGACTATCCAATTCGAGCAATGTCGGAATTATTACGATACATTTTCTGTAGTGGTAACACTGCATCACAGCACCACTATTATCGAATAAACTACCAACCACATTTGATACATGTAACCATACACAAAATTTCTAAACATTGTTTATATTTTTTTCTTAAACCGAATCATTTTAAATTTTATTTTTTCATTTTCATATAATAAAATTAAATTCTAATTAATGTGCGTTTGATTTTTTCTTGTGATTCATTAATAATATTAATGAATAACTTCAACGAAAGAAATGGGGAATATATATATACATATAACAAAATTCGTTTTAAAGATAGATCATTTATTTTTATGTTTTTATATGAATGAACATATTTATCGATTAGATTTAGCAACACGTTCGAGTTCGTCTTTCTTTTTAATCGCGTAAGAGTTAGACGAACCTTTGGCAGCATTAATGAGTTCATCAGCTAAACATTCGGCGATGGTTTTAATATTACGGAACGCGGCTTCCCTAGCACCTGTACATAACAACCAAATAGCCTGATTTACTCGTCGTAATGGAGAAACGTCCACCGCCTGTCTCCTAACTGTACCAGCGCGACCAATACGCGTAGAATCTTCTCTAGGTCCAGAATTGATGATAGCAGTCACGAGAACCTTTATTCAAATATAAATGCATTTTTATTGTAATTTCCACATAAGAATGTTAAAATAATGATTTAAAATATTAATTACCTGTAGAGGATTATCACCTGTAAGCAGGTGAATTATTTCAAAGGCATGTTTTACAATTCTTACTGCCATTAATTTTTTTCCATTATTTCTACCATGCATCATTAAAGAATTTGTCAAACGTTCGACTATAGGACATTGAGCTTTTCGAAATCGTTTTGCAGCATAACGTCCAGCAGAATGTGGTAAATATTTTGCATTTTTTTCTTTAACTGCAATATAATCTTGTAAAGACATATCATTTACTTGTACATCATCACAATTCCAGCGACCAAATAATTTAATTTCAGGTAGTTCTGCAGAAAGGGCCACTGGTAATGTCGTTGTGGTAGGTACCACTATATCATCGTATGTTTCCATTTCAGCCATGATTTATCTATAAAATATAAATTATTATTAAAAACTTATGTTATATATATATATTTTTATGGATTATTTTGATGATATCAATATTAATTAATGTATTTATGTATGATAATTAAAATAGAAATATAATATACTTCTTGAATTGAAAATTTAATATAGATTGTTATATATTGTTTCATTAAATTATCTTTAATATTAAAGGATAAAGAAAAATATATATTGTAAAAAAAAATATGTATGATTATAGAATGCTCAAATAATAATTGTTCCTTAAAAAAATATTATTAACTATCGAATATACTTCAAAAATAATCTTTCACGGATTCAAATAATCTTTATACATATCGTATGATAATTAGCGTAATACATTGTTAAAAAGAAAAAGAAATAAAATGAATAAAAAATACATAAACATTGTTCAGTTCAAATACAAAATTTGACACAAATTATAACAAAACAGAAAACTTGAAATAACATGCACATTAGACACAATTTCTTTTCGATTTGACGTTTATAATTGTTTTAAATGTTATTTATGAAACGCCATAACTTTGTTGATATAAAACGTGAATGAGTATCATAAAGACATGTGGCCATGTGGTCGATCGAGAACACTTTTAACTGATAAATTCTAGAGCGTATTATATGTTTTGGTCACGAATTACTTTTCATAAATTTTCAATATTTTTCAATATCACCTTTTTCAACACAACCGGTCGGGTAAAGACATCGAACTTTCGAATTCCTTACCATATAACTTTCGTTCACGTCTTCTTTGGAGTAAGCGTGAACAGGAAAAGGCCATGACACTAGTGGCGCTCCGACCTGTGACTGCCGGATTTTACATACCTTAATCAATTTCAACATGCGACATAATAATTTTCAAATTTTATATTATATATACCGATAATGTAATAAAGACTACTTTCAAGTATAATTGATTTATATTATATGTTCGATTTATTTATTGTTTATTTTATCAAGAAAGCAATAGAAATTTTTGATTTTATAGTTGTTATTTTGACCACAAAGTCTTAACATCAGTACTGTAAACGCACAAGCAGAGACGATTGGTTCGTGAGTTGCCATTTTGAGCGTGTATTTATGAGTAATTCTACTTAAATTACATATTATTATTAAATTTTAATGGTATTTCTTTGAGTTATCACAATCTTTCAAAAGTGTAGATGTGAAATAATTTGTTATAGTATATGATAAAGTGTTTGATTTCATGTTTGGGGTTAGTACCGGTTACCGAATAAACCGGTACATGTCGAATAGATAAGTTCACGTCAAATACGAAAGATGTCACTACTAAAAAATCTGGAACAACTTCCGGTCTTCAGAAGGAAACGGTAAGTGTTATTTATATTTTTATATTTATTTCTAATTTATATTAATATATCATCTCATATGTTAATAATACATGTATTTTGATTTCTTCAAAAATTATATATATTGTATAAAGATGTTGCGTTCTGATGTTTTTATAAAGTACAGTTGTCCAGGTAGCAAGTATATATAATATATTATACGTGATATACTTGCGAAACGAGTAAGATGTATATTGGAAAGAGAAACCCTAAGTACAAAAATTTAAATATCAGGTCGGTTATTTCATCGATTAGAAAAGTGTTTTGATCATTAAAATCTAATGAAAGCATGCGTATAAATGCAATTGATTTCATGCTTAAATTAAATAGTAATAATGAATTTAGTTTAGATGAGAGAAATATTGGGAATAATTTATAATAATATATCTAAAATTTTGATGAATACATTTTATTAATATAAAAATGTAAATGTTACAATAAAAAAGAAATAAATTAAATAAGTTTTCGTTGGATGATCTTATCAATCTGATAGAAATATATATATAAATATATTTATAAACATAATTTTAGTATTTTATGTTAGTCTTTGAAGCATATTTTTAAATCTTCTATCATGGAAAAAGATTTTTTATCATTAAACACAAACTTATCGAATGGAATAATCCCTAATATAAAATTAACACGATAAATGTTGACAATGGTTTAGGATTACATAGTAAAGGAACAAATAAAAGAAGACAAAACGTAAATTAGAACGGTAGAGTTTTGCTTTGAATCTGCGTCTAGTTTAGCTGGTTGATGTTTTTCTTACAGTAAAAGCAACGCGATGAAAGGTAGAAGGGCACCGATAGCCGAATCGTGGGAGGGTTCGAACATGGGGTGTATCCTAGCAACTTAGCGAATCGCTAGAGGGTAGTCGTTCAGTAACGTAACTACAGATTTTCCTACCTGCCGTCTCCAACCATTTCATGAGCACTCTCTAATTTTTCTTTCATTTTTTTTCAATATAATCGAATTAATCATCATTTATTTTATTTTATTTATTTATATTTATTTTAATCTATGTGTTCGCTTATGTTGTTTCTTTTTATTGTTAATAATCTATGCTACTTACAATAATTGTGGATATATCTTATAACAAATAACGAACAAAATCGAGAAGATCTTCAATTTATTTTCAAACATAAGCATGAATACTATCCACGCACACTTGTATATATTTGTTATGTATTGGAAGAAATAATTTGAAAAGGAGAGAGAAGATAAGGTGAAAGACGAAAGAGATAAAACAAAAATATTTGAAAAAATTTAAATGAGAAAAAATTTGCGAGAAAAAGAAGATATATTGCTTCGTATTTTTACGATGTTTCACATAATAAATGAAAATTAAAAAAGAGTGAAAAGATGCGGCGATATATTAAAAATAGAAAGAAAAGAAATGATGTATAAATATAATTAATAGATGTATAATAATAAAAATAAAGAAAAAGACGTATAAAAAGAAAGACAAAAAATTTGTTAGAAGTTTACACAGACAAGGAAAACGTTAAGTACATTTCGGATGTTTGTATAGAGCAATTAGTATTTACAAAGAGAGGTGAGGTAGAAAGTAAGTTTTGAACCCAAGGGGAAATTCAAATGGAGCAACGGTAATGAAAGTACGAAATCGGTGTGCGAAGGTAGACGAAAACACGAGGTACACATAAGCCTTGAAAGAGAGGCAACAGAGATAAGTGAAAAGAAAAGCGTGCAAGAGGGTTGACGAGACCACATGCTGCGAATACTCTTCTCGCGTACTGTCCCCTGTCTTTTCCTCTGACCTTACTCCGTTCTCCCCTCTCTATGCATCATGTTCCAAGCTCCCTTTTCTCAACCCCCTCCCTTCTATCATTCGTCCTTTCTTCTTTTCACTATTCCGAACACTGTCAGTCCTTTCCAATCGGTTCTTCGATGCTTCAACTAGGCTTCTGGAACGTCCTACTCACGCTGAAGCTTGATCAAATTTTTTTTACAATTGAATCTTTTAATATTTTTTAAATAAGTAATTTCAACTCCTATTATGTTTTATAAACTCAGAAAAAATATAGAAACGATATAATCTCGTTTTTAATTGATATTATATATATTATATGAAATTAATTATAATTTGAAATATTATATATGAAAAATATATATATATATATAAATTTAATATAGCGATTGAACAAATTTTTTGATTAAAAAAAAACTCAAAAATAAAATGAATTAAAAAAATTATACAATTTTTAATGATATCGAGATTATTTGAATGTTGAAATTCTATTAAAAAAACGATTCTGAATTTTAAAAATTAATATTGTAATATACAAAGCAAAAAAAGCAAACGAAAATAAAATAAATTTCGTTTTGGTAAAAGAAACCTGCGCGTCAAGTAGTCAAATAAACGCGGTGTTCGTTCGAATTTAATTTTTAGTAAATTAAATTTTTGCGAACGATAATTTTGCGATCGCATCGAGAAATTCCACGTTATAGCATCCGCGAGGATCGACAAGGCCACGCCCATCCGGATATCGATTCGTTGACAACGTTGCTTTTCGCTCGTGGCTCGGACATACTTACTAAACTTAGAACAACGAACATTGTTATCTTTTCTAATTTTTTTCTATTATCTCATATGTTTCTCTCTTTTTCATTCTAACTTATATTCACAACGTGTTGATTTTTCGTAAATCGATTGCAAGCAATCGAAAGGGAAACAGAAAGACAGGGAGACAGAGAGAGGGAAGAGAGAGTGAATGAGTGAATGAGTGAATAAAAGAGTGGGAGAGTGAGAGTAAGTATATGTGTGTGTATGTGTGTATGTATGTGCGAGAGAGAGAGAAAGAGAGAGAGAGAATCAAATCAAGATCTATAATTTTTGAATCTTGTTTCCTTTGAAGATTCATCAATAAAAATCATTCTGTAAGACATTTATCAATCAAATCTATCAAAAATAATAAGAATAATTGATTTCTTCCTTCCATTCTTTTTTTAATCTTGAACAATATGAATAATTTTGAAATAAATTTTATTTTATAAGAAGCAAAAATTAAATCCAAAGTTCGATGATTCATTTTATTTCGTTTTGAGATAGCGTTCAATTGCTAACGTTCAACAATAAATAACTGACGACGAGAGATTGTAAACAAAAGAAGAGAGAAAGAGGATAAAAGGGATTGAAGCAGAAGAGAGAAACATAAAAAGAAATACACAATTTTACATTTTAATTTTTTCCAATTTTTTTTGCATTTATTTAAGAAGATATTTGTCATTATTGTTTTAATAATTTTTGCTTTTGAAAAAAATATTCCATACAAGAATTGTTGTACATTTTATTAGAAAAAATAATTTATCGTTCTAAAATTAAGAATATTTTAAGTATATCTGTAAAATCAATAAATTATTAATATTTGTAAATTGGATCAGTGAATTGTAAAAAGAAAACTTTGAAATTTATCTCACAACATATTACATCTATTAGAATTATATAAATATCGCATTACATAGATATTATTTATTATGATAATGAACAGTTCACTTAGTTCTTTAAAACTTAGAACATATTATCTTCCTGCAATCATGCTTCTAATAGAGCAGTTCTATACATATATAAAAATATATGAGCTAAAAATGTTATTTTTCTTGAAAAATAAATTAAACTTTATATTTAGATTTTATATTTATATTAATTATTATTAGTGCATATTATATAATACTAGTACATTATTAATAGATAAATTTTTTTTTTCAGAATTTATGTTATATGATTGAGAATATAACAAAAAGAGAAATATAACAATTACTAGAATACAAAATACATAAAAAATTTTTTTTATTTTATAAAAAAAAATACATAATTTTTTATAAAAAAAATTATATTATGAAACAAATTATAAGTTTATTTGAAAATTTTGAAACGTTTAAGTTTTTCTAAAGCTATCGTTTAATAGAACGAATTGCTAAGTATGTTTGCTCTTAGCCATGAATCACATCATATATACGGTTCATTATGGGAAATAAGAATTATCGACGAAAAAGAAATGATAGTTGAAAAAATAAATTAAATAAATGATTAAATAAATGAACTTAAACGTCTATATATATACATACAGTGATAGGATATATATATATATTTTTCATTTTATGGAAAAAAAATCAAAATATTTCTTAACGATCTACTTTTTTTTAATTGATATAAGAATTATATTGAATTTAATCATACATAATGTACATACGTATAGCTATAAAAAGATTTTCAAAGAAAATTTAACGAAAAAAAATTTTTAAAGAAAATTACATAGCTAGCAGTTTGCTTGTATTTTGGCTTATTATGATTTAATATTTTATAATGTATATTTATAATGTATATTTTGAATATATTTATATATAAATGAGTTTTATCACTTATATTTCATTTAAAGTAGAAAATCAATTAATACAGTAAAATTTAATAATTCATTGGAATTCATGAATTTTGAAATAAATTATTTTAAAATTAAAAACACATAATGCTATAATTAAATCTATATATTATTAATAATAATATATTAATATAATCAAAATTTAATGTTTTATTCAAAAAATTGCTAAATAATTCTTAATTCTCAAATTATATTTTTTTTCATTTAACAATAATTATTGAAAGTTTTCTCATGAATAAAAAAAAAATCATATTCGGAATTAGTAAATTATTTTAGAAATAAAAATTTTTTTTGTATTATATAAAGATATATATATATGTAAAATACATTAAAAAATGAAAGAAATTAAAATTAATAAATTTTGTTTAAAATCAGTATCCAATTTTTATTAAAATATATATAACGTATAAAAATAGAGAGATATATAAAAATATAAAATTTAATAACATATTTGTAATTTTATAGAAATATTTAGTTTTGATTTCAACTTTTACTAATGTTTTTATCTTATACCATACGAAATTGATAACGTCGCATGTGACACGAAAATGGTAAAGGGTCATATAATCCTCGAATTTCGAGATAAAAAAAAGAGCATTGTATGAGAGGTCTATTCTATATCTCGTCTGTGGTGTGGATATACATATAGAAGGGTGGAGTAGAAAAACCAAAGTGGCGTGGTATCGATGCAGAGTGGGGAGGTTATGACGAAGAGAGATAATAAGAGAGAAAGAATAAAACCAACATAAAGAGCAATAGAAGGAAATAAAGTGTTCTGTATCAACTACAAATGGGACCTTGGAAGACACATTGCGAAATTGTCAAAGATCAAAGTCAATAATTATACGATACTAATTTAATCGTTTATAATACATGCATATAAAGATACAATATATCACATTGATATTATCAAAAAACAACATATATATATATATAAATTATCTATGTATATAACATAAAAATGAAGAAAGAAAAAAAGAGCAAAAAAAAAAAAAAAAAAAAA